AATTATTTGCTGCCAAAAATTACCAGGACTTTCCAACCGACCTCAGGACGTCTCCTTACCGTTGGTTGATTGAAACACGCGATTCCCGCTCGCTATATCGTCAATATAATCGTTTGAATGGCGTTAAAGTCACGGAGAAGCCTCAGGTCAACATCGATGAATGGCTGGATCCCACATCGCCGCAATACAATGCCACGCTTGCAGATGTGATATTCCACTACTCAGCCTGGGCTAATAAAGCAGAACACTTCGAAGCTTGTGTTGCCACTGAAGAAATGCGCCAGACAGCGTGGAAATATGGGCACGAGAGCCAGATCATTCTCGACGGAACCTTTGGCATTTGCGACAGCTGTTATATGTTGAGTTTAAGACAAGGCCGACGAAGTCCGACCTCGGAGTTCGCGGTTTCTCGCAACACTACAAAGAATAGAGTGAGCGACTATTCGGGTCCGCAGTTCTGCACAAGACTAAAATCCGGAGTCACAGAGTTCGGAGTTCGGAGTTGAAGTCCGAATAGAGGATGAAGGCAGAGGCTCGACCAACGCCGAGATAGCGAAGAAACAATCAATAATCAAACTGAAGTACAACACATAACTAACTAGCTTTTAAACTAAGTACGCTATTGTCTCTGGAATACAATAGCGTGCGAGATATTGGTAAGTAAGAAATGTAAAACAATAAGATGCTAAGGTGACTTAGTAAGGCTAAACAATAACGGACCTCGGGCTTGGTAAAGAAGCCCGAAGAAGAAGACGGACCAGACAATAAGGCCTCGGTGTAATATAAGTCCGTCGGCCCGAGGAGTCAACCGTGCTTAGAAGGGAAACACTCAGTAGACCTTCATAGCGTGAAAACCCTTCTCGGGAATTGCCGGACCGGGCCGGCCGGTCCGATAATGCACGGATATAACAACAGCCACCTGCTCCTATTCATTGTCATGGTCATTGACGAGAATAAGAAGGGGATTCCCGTCGCTTTTCTCCTATTCTCTGCTCCTACCAGGAACAAGCAGTCTTCGTCTGGGTATGATACAGCAATCCTCGCGAAGCTTCTTCAGACATGGAAGGACACGCTCACCCGGTGTGGTCACCAGTACGGCTTCCCAAGAACTATTTTCAACCCGTTTACAGCCATAACCGACACAGACTTGAAGGAGCGTGGTGCTCTCCTCGTCGTCATCCCCACCATCTGGCTTTTAATCTGTCGGTTTCATCTACGCCAATCGTGGAAGAATTATCGAAACAAACTGTTGAAGGGGAAGGGCCAATTGAAGCTAGATCTGAAGCATCGGCTGAAGCGTCTGGAAGATTCTCTCGTGCAAACTCAGACTATAGAGCACACACGTAGTCTTCTTGAAACCGAGAAAAATATGCTGCTTTGGCTCGGTAACTCGAAGGCGATCCTTCAGGCCCTAAGGCATGTTAAGTATCTCGACGAATATTGGACGACAGATAATCTGTGGAAGAGCTGGTCGGATTACGGCCAAACAGTGGCGGCCGCGCTGCTGGGATGCCACTTCGATGGTGTAATTCCTACGACGAACCATTTGGAATCTTTCAATGGGGTTCTCAAGCGTAAACACTTACGGCGGTGGCAAAATGGTGGCCATAGGTTGCGCATTGATGTTCTCATTCGAATCCTCGTCATCCACATCCTCCCCTCTATATTCCAAGAACGGCGGCTGTATCTGGAACAAAGCCTTCGTCTTGCGGCTCAGATTCGACAACTGCCTGGAGGGCAGGCTCTTCTGACCCAGCGGGCATCGGGGTGCAACAAACCTGCCGTCCCTGGGATAGCTTATCTGACACCGGACCCCCAACGCGAGGAGCGCGCGGCTGGTATTGTCAACCAGCGTCAGATAAGCTCCCCCACCATGTTTGAGGACAATAGCGGCCTCCACTTTATGTGCTATTCGTCAGAGGCGTTGGAGATCGAGTCAGAACCTGTCCAATACAGCATCACGGTCCTCTTCAACGGAGCTGCCAGCTGCAACTGCACAGATTTCCGCAGGCATGGGGGTGCTTGCAAACATCTTCGGGCTGCTTTGATCCTCCTCAATTTGCTCCGCTCACAGGGCGTGAATGTCCCGACAATTCCAATTCCCTGTTCCATTACCGACACGTACACCCTGGAAGCAAAGAAATCAATTGCTCCTCTCCCTCCCACCCCGACAGAACTTCCAACAGTGCGGGCTGCTGCTGCTGTAGAAGACCTGTTGGCCAACAATGATTCATGTCGTGACAACAAGACCGAGGATCATGAGCCGGATTCGGACGACGACGGGGATAATGATAGTGCTGCCACCGATGTGTCATCCGATGACGAAGATGATGCCGAGGAATCGTTGTGGGTCAAGAAGTCAACTGGGTCCAATAATCAACAAGCTCTCGGGGAACAGGCAATGGCACGTACCTTATTTGAGTTGGACGATATGGGGTCAAAATTCGGAGATCTGGCCGAGTTTCTGAAGCACAACCGGGGCCCCCTTTCCGATAGCGCACGTGAAGCGTTGATTAAGCGCTGTGAACCTCTCGAGAACTTCCTGGGGGAGATCCACCAGCTCTGTTCTGACAATTCACTCCCCACTTTACCTTCTACCATCGTACCTGCTGCCACCCCCTCCTTTACCACCGGCCCGCTTGTTCCGTGAACTAGTGAGCAGCGGAAGCGAAAGGCGCACCTGTTGGGAGCATCTCCGGAGAAGGCTTCAAAGCGCCACACATCTTACGCACCGCACTAGATACATTTGGCGATTAAATAGAATTATTATTACATTTCTTCTGAAAATCTAATGAGTTCCACCTGAAATGAAGTTACCTTGCGCCCAAAATTCACGCGTTCGAGAACAATGGCGTTGAACAATGCAGACTGGGATGTCTGGATCATTACCCGGTTGACCCGCGTGATAGCCGAGACTTCCCAAATAGGAAGGTCCGTGAGTGGGCCGTGTTTCCCACTGCCAGAGCCAAGTTTTCTGTGCCTTTCCAGCCTTCCCGGTGAAGGGTGGCAAGATATTCTTGTGCTTTATGAAAGCGGACGAGGGCCAGTCGCCTACGATGGCCGACGTCGATGGATGATGGATAAGTGGTTGGTATGTTGACATACCCGTACCTGACCTCATCGAGGCTAAGCACTGAGGAATGGTCAAGATATTGAGGTGAATCTGGAGCACATCTCTTGCACTTCAAAACAAGGTCCGTGAGGACGAATGGGGCAGTAGAAGGCACGCTGGGAGTGGGGCTGCTGGACTTTTTGTTCTTGGATACTTACTGAAAGGATAGGGGAGCACCGAAAAGCCAGCAGAGTTGGTGGTAGGAGGAGAAAATACTTTCCATCATGCCACCACGAGACAGATACGTTGATGCCATTGATCGCCGGCCCTTCTCAAAAAGGAAGGAGGGTGAGTTGGCCCAAATTCCCACATCAAGCACGGTCCCTTTTGACCTCTATCTATGCCTTCCATCGTCTGGTGAACAAATGTAATTTGTGGCCTAAAGCAGGATCTGCCAGAACCAGCGAAGCGGCAGGGAGTGCTTGGGGAGTGCACAACCTCGGATGGCCACAGAGGCAGACCAACAGGAAACAGCCTCGGAAGTGCGGAGAACTGGGAGAGGCGAACCGAGGAAGCGGCCAACAAAAGCAATAGTGTCACAGAGCAATGGATGGGCAAGGAAGAGAAGAAGGTGGGGACGGATCATTGATGGTGATTGTTTTTTTAGCTCGAAGTGCGAGACAAATGTGGTGCAATGTCAAGCATGCGGGAAAACTCAAAGCGAGAGGCAGCGTCTGCTACTCCATTCTCCTTTGTCGGAATCCAGTGGGATTCAAAGGTAAAATTGAGGCGGCAGGCACAGCCAAGGAAATGCTGAACAAGCTCCATGGTCGGGCTGACCGAATGGAGAGGTTGTGAATGGCGGCATCGACATCCTGATTGTCGACATGGAAAATAATGTGTTTGCAAGAGAATTCTTGACCCCAGCAAAGGATTGCACGTAAGACGGCAAAAAATTCTTTGAACTGGATACTTTATCTGAAGATACCCGTTGCTCTGCATTTTTTTGACAACCAAATAAGAGGTTTATGGGTAACTGGGCTTTCCCTCTGGTCAACTGGGAATAAATCACTACTCTGCATAATCATTAGTCTCTCGTAGACAGACAATTTTACCAACCTTACTCGTACGTTGCTGGTTTAACATAATCATTACCACTAGGGGTAATTTATAAGTAAGCCTTCAACCGGCAAGGTATGAGCAAGTTTAGTTGAAGTGTTTGTCTACAAGAGACCAAGGTAGGCGTACATATGACAACTATTCTGATACCTCTTTATCACTGGTGTTTTTGGAGTATGCTTCCATATTCATGGGTGAGATCGCTGAAATGGTCTTCACTTGGTATGTCAGGCGAAACTGGTAATTTTGACTTTCTCTTTGTTTGTTTGGTTCTGCTTGCCGACGCTTTCCCACGGTTCAATCTTGTTTTCTTGGAGTGTTTTGGGTGTCTGTGTTTCTGGTCATCTTGTCTGCATTCTGTCTTCTTCTAAAAATTGTTAATATGACTGTACATTTGTGGAAATTGGCAGCCCTTTCAAACTTGAAGTGATTTTTCTGACCATCTCGTTTCCCAGCTTTCTTCCTCTCGTTTCACCAACCATTAAACCTATCTGCAATGAATCCGAATCGGTGTAGTGGTTAATATTTCCACCTTGTGGCCCAATCTCTCCCAGTTTTAGAACGGGTACTCAGAGCGGTGGACTTCAACCAAACTGTTGTTTATTGTGTTATAAATCCACACCTCTTCGAATTGGTGCAGACTACTGTGCTGTGGTTAACAATGAGAACAAAGGGGTGTTGCCTATACAGTCACGTGTTTACACAAAATGTATACCTCTTTCGGACTTGGTGCAATTTTTCTTTCAGAAAAACTTGGATTTCTCTCTTTCTTTCCTTCATTCAATTATACCGTCCTCCCCTCGTACTTCCTCATCCACGACGCTATCAATCCGAATTGGTGTAGTGGTTAACATTGTCGCCTCTCAATTTGCTTATGTAAGCGCCTCATTGGGTAACGTGGGTGTCGCGACAGCCAGGGGTTCGATTCCCCTATTCGGAATAGCTTTTGCTTTTGCTTCTGCTTCTGCTTTCTACTGTGTCTTTTGCTATCCAAAATATTCCCTGCATTGATACACGGTAACCTACAACGACAGTGATATCGAACATCGGAGCAACCCTTGCTGCAGCGGTTCAATTTCACTTGAGTTGCTCCATCGGGGTTTTTAAGAGTAGTGCTCACTGCTAGCAGTCTCGAAACCACTGGGCCTGTCTCATTCAAGTAATAATAGCTCGGTAAGCCATTTCAGTGGCTCGCCTACATTTCTGAGTTCCGACGACCTCCGCACATTCGGTAATGTAGGGAAGCCGCGCCAGCATGTTAAAATTTTGGAAACGATGTTATGTATTCAAGAGCGAAATTGCACGGGGTCCAGTAGGTCTAGAGGTATTGACTTGTTCAAATTGATACTAAAACCGGAGAACCTAGTGGCCCTTTTGTGATTTTGCCCACTACACCGATTCGGAGAGTGGAAAGCGCGATCAAATAGTGATTGGAACCGTTGACCACTACACCAATTCGGAATGCCATCAGTATGGTGTATGATTGCTCTGGACATTATCATCTAAGGATGGATGTCCTACTCACTGAGGATTTGAAGGAACATTGTTGGTATTATCAATGAGGGAGGTTGCCTCACAGCTGAGCCCTTGGTTGAGCGGCATCACCGAGATCCCCGATGGGTATCGGAAGGAGTGTGAAGAACATATGTACACTATGCCCTACAACCGCACCGTACCTCATCATGAAACTCTAAGAGGCCCAATACAGTAGCTCAAATGTGAATGCTAGCGAAATGCAAGTTCCAATCATGTACTCCAATCCAAAGTTGTACAGCAGGCTGCGGGGCCGACAGATATCGGGCCAGGGCGCGTCATCAAACAATGTTCAATTTACTCTTGGACCACATACAATTCCCAGAGCGGAGACCGGTATCACTATTGCGGCGGTAAATGCCCTTCGTTGTAATGATCCTGACTCTGAATTTCCCCATGAAGTATAATCCACATTGTTGGGACTGCCCCGTTTGGTTGAGTTTTCAGGCTGCGGCAACAGCATCCAAGCCATACCACTCGATACCACGGGAGACCAGTACTTGTGTCCCCCGCCGTCGGTTCTATCTGAAACGTTGGGCGTGCACAGTGCTCGATTGTTCCGATGCGCCCGCATCGCGCGCAGTATAAAAGGGCACTAAATTTACGACATTGAGCAGCATCTTCTCCTCCTCCCATGCAATTCACCGAGTCGATCGTCTCTCTGACTGCATTCGTGGCGGCCGCTGCTGCAATCACCGGCCGAGGTGACATTCTCGAATGCTCGGCTTTCACTTGTGCTCAGCATTGTCTTTCCAGCGACGTTCTTCGATCCCAACGGCCTAGCGGGCGAATGCGGATTCTCAATTCAAAACACGGACTTCGCCGTCGCGCTGTCGCCTGCAAACTATAATGGCGGTGCGTTCTGTGGACAGGATATCGTCGTTGAATGTGAGTGCGATGAATCTTGCCATTGCATATGATACACTACAGACAACGGGGCATCCGTTACTGTTCGAGTCGCAGATCAGTGTGTTTTTTTGCAGCGGGAACAGGATTGATTTGACCCCCCTCGGCATTCGAGGTCTTCGCACATCTCAGCGATGGAATCATCGAGGTCACTTATACGCTTTGATTGAGTAAAGAAGGGAATGGAACCCTGGAATGTAATTGAACTGTATGAATCGGTATCCGCGATCCAAGTTAAATATAGTGCACGATTGAATCAAGCGTCCAAGAACACACCTTCGTCGGGTGAGTGCGGCTGTAGCCTGTCGCCGCCACCAATGCAGTGAGCGAGACGATCGATTTGATGAACCGGATGAGAGGAGTGCAGATGATACTCGGTCCCAGGAATCTGGAACGCCTTTATACTGGGAACAGTAATACAGAGTGCCTGGGCAATCGTGATTTCAACAAGCGATACAAAAATCATGACTCTGGGATAGGACACACACCTTGCTCAACCATCGCCGTCCCGGGCGGATAGTTCTAATCAGTAACCCCCGTAGGCGCAGTACAGATCCTCTGGAAGCTTTTTTGTGAGGTTCACCATCCCATGGTATAATCCACCTGCACAAGCGGGAAATCGGGAGGCATTCCCCTCCTTTTCCCCTCGATTTTTCGTCTGGTTTTCTTCGGCCTGATATTTGAAGTATTTTTAGCCGTTTGGGGTCAAACGATGACTTGGAACCGGCCCTGTAAGAAAATAATGTAGAGTCACGGTTTGGACAGTTTATTTGGGGGATCACCCAAGCCAACTTGGTCCGCTGAGATCCCCCGACATGCCCCCGAACACAACCCGACACTGCCCGCCAACAGTGCCGAATATCAACTTAGTCCGACAAATCATGGGCATTGCTTAATAGCGGCAACCCCCTCGTGCCAAGATTCCGATTAAGCCGCGGCGGTCTGAACCGCTATCCTTCGCTCCCGGAGCGAGCTGGGGAGTCGGCAAGCTTGAATTCGACTGTACTCGATCAGTGTAAATCCGTCCGTGAGGTCCAAGCGCTCCGTCGGGTCACGGATTCCTGTCGCAGTCTTTAGTCTCGAGTCCACAAACCAAACGGGAGGGGAACAGCAGAGCATGGCATACATAGTATGCCAGTGCAAACGGCCGGCGGAATGAGAATAAAGAAGCATGCCGACTAGCCCACCCGCCGCACGCCGACCCCGCCCGCCTCGAGCACGCGCCGCATCTCCGCTTCCAGAGCGCGGCATGCGCCCTCGCGCTCCCGCTCCTGCGTGCCCATCATCCCCGGATGGGGCCGCTCCCATACGGGAGATTTCAGAGCACCGACCAAGAGATCACGTACAAGGACAAGTAAGAAGCACAGGCCTTCCCAATGCCTCGGGGACGCGCCGTATCTCCTAGCCCGAGAATTTGACAAGTGGCGTCAGTGCCTAGGGTCAGAGCTCCGTCAGAAAATCCGCTGGTGGACCACCCTAGACGACAGAGGATCAAGTTGTCAAGTGGCCCAAAAGTGGCTGCTTGAGACGTTCGCTGGCGAGTTCTTCAAGGGATTGAGCCTGTATCGGCCAGGAATTGCTCCCAAGTCTTCGACCAAAAGGAATACGACATTTATCGCCCACAGGCAAGATTCTTGGTTGTTCGGACTGGGGAGTCGAGACGAGATCCAAATGACAAATAAACCCTAACCCCACTCTGATTCCTCCACGAGAAATTCGGAGTCCGCCACCGCGTTCTCAGGCCTGCTTCTTCTCCAAGTACGTTTCGCTGGCATCCGGTCCTGTGCACCCTCTTGACTGCTGCATCAAACCCCCGCAGAGCTCGGCGTCTCGATCCATCTACTTATATATTTCGCGCAGAAAAAGCAGTGTGCACAGTGCTGTAAACTGTCAAGCGACGTCCCGTCTATAAAACATTCCATCGCGACTTGGACGGCTCGACTGGACACCTGGGCACTCCCAACCCGCTTTACTGGCTTGTGCTCGACAAGGCGCTCCGAAAACACTTGATAAAAGGTGAAAATAACTGGGAATGCATTCCGAGTATTGACGGCCATCTGGCGCCAGTGTAGAGACCTTGAGGGATTCCCCGCAGTTTTCTGGAGCTGCCGGGACGTTGGAATTATTCAGTGCGCTTTACCAGCTCTTCAGAGCTTGTTGACCAAACCTTGTTAGCCCAAAAGCCGAGCATAAGGTGTCGGCTGCACCACATAAGTTATCGCAATGCCTGCAAAGTACTCACACGTCAAAAAGCGCTCTGCTGCTGGCGCCCTCAAAAAATCACCTGGTAAAAATTCGCACCAGCCGCGGTCGCCGAACCCACACACGGACCGCGGCATCTCGCAGGCCATGACAGCTGTGTCCCAGCTCGAGCGTGCGATTGCGCGCATCCTCCTCATCCGCTACGAGCAGGACATTGCGCGCCTGTTTTCGACGCGTCTCTACAGCGTCGCCCTCGTGCACCTCCCCACCTTCGTCATGCGCTGCGCCGCGCTCGCGGGGCCCGGCTGGGTCGCGCACAACTCGGATGCGGACGAGATCAAGGACTTTTTCCGCGCTGCGATCAGCATGGACATGCGCGAGGCGGGTGAGCGCGTCGCCACCAAGAGCGTGCTGTGGTCGTACACCGCGCTGCGCCACTTTGCGCTCTCGAACAACATCGCGATCTGCACGACGCGCGGGCTGCACTCGCTGCGCCTGCTGCCGCATTACGCCGCGCTCAAGGCGCACCTCGACGCGCTCGAGGCGATGCCGCCCGCCGCGGTCGCGAAGCCGCCGCACCTCGGCTCGCTCGAGGAGGGGCAAGCCGCGCTCGAGGAGGCGTGCGCGCGGAAATACGCCGCGCGTGCGCAGCCGCCGTGGGCGCCCGACTGGCGCGCGCAGGTGCGCGTGGGCTACGAGCGGCTCGCGCAGACGCTGTGGCGCGTCGCGCGCGAGTTCGACGTGCGCGGGTATGGGCTCGTGCTGCGCGAGAAGCTCACGGGCAAGTGGTGCGACTGCGGCTGCTCGACGGACCACCTCGGCGAGGTGTGCGAGCGAACGGTGCGCGCGGACGAGGCGGAGAGCGGCGTGCGGCCGGGGAAGCAGCGCGAGTGGGACGGGCGCGGGAGCGGCGTGTTCGGGTGGGAGACGGAGGAGGAGGAGGATATCTGGGAAATTGGGCTCGACTTTGGTGCGATGGACCCCGAGGACCCGGAGGGCGACGGGGGCGGGGGGGTCGAGGGCGAGATGACGATTGGGGAGCTGATGGAATGGCGCTACGTCAAGGCGGAGCGCGAGAAGGAGGAGGTGGGCGGGTGCCTGTCGGCGCGGTATCGAGCGAGCTAATGGCGCTTCAGGGCAACGTCGCGTTCCGCAAGGGCGACTATGTGCGCGCGGTCAAGCACTACGAGGCGGCGTATGAGATCGAGCCAGAGCTCCCGTACTACCAGCTCAACCTCGCCGCCGCACATCTCAAACTGAGCAAGTATGTTTTCTGTCCCCTACGCGTTCTTCGTGCTC